GTTGGTACAATTTTTTCAATTTTTAATTTCTCTGGAACGGCTCCTGTTATAAAAAGGAGTTTTTTTATTATCGGAAAGTTACTCATTACTAAATTGCTACAAATTTCATCAATTCCTGGTGCTTTATTTATTTTTAAAAAGTTTTTTGCATTTTCGAGTTCTTTATAGCTTAATCCGTTGAAAATTAGTTCGCTATTTTGATCTTTTGGAGTTATATTGAGTCATTTGGAGTTGAAACTTTGAACGCCATGTTTGGGCCAATGTTTGCGAAGAAATTGTTGAAGTGTTCGGCAATTGTGTTTTTTATCATCGTGTTCGGTTTCATTCATAATAATTCTATCTAGTAAGCTATTTGTTTTTTTGTTTTTTTCCAGAATATTTCTATCATGATGTTCCATGTTTTTTTGATGTCTTCATTTGTTTTTTTTTAATAATTTTGAGAAGTAAATTTTTTTAGAATGTTTTTTGATTTTTTCAAAAAGATTTTTGTTTTTTTTATAAATAGATTGGTTAATCTCATTTCTGTTTTTCAAATATTTAACGTATAGTTTTTGAAGATTTTTTAATACCGCTGGTGATCCATGGACAGCTCATATTTTAATTTGATTTCTTTTTCTTTGATTGGAAAAAGATTATTATAGTGCTTTAGAAAAATGTCTGAGAAAGTATTATATGCAGAGTTTGTGTTCCCAAGGTTACATTCTTGATACACTTTAACCCAATCTATTGCCGATAGTGTGTCTTTAAAATTTTGAATAGAAAGTTTATTTATTTTTCTTTAATAAATTATTTTTTTCAGATTATTATTTATTCTTGTATCATTTGTTAATGTAAATTGTAAATGTTAATGTAAATTGTAATTTGTGTTTATGTGTTGTTATGAGTTGTTGTGTTTGTTATGAGTTGTTGTGTTATGTTTATGTGTTGTTATGAGTTGATTATGACATGTAAATGTTATTGTAATTGTTAATGTAAATTGTTAATGTAAATTGTTAATTGTAAAAAAGTATATTGGAAAATGATCTGTAATATCAATTTTTACTGTTCCTGCTTTTATAGAGGTATTTAGAAATGAGTTTCTTAGTATATTATCTATGGCAGATATAGAGTTTGAGGTTACCTGTGTGGGTTAATTAATAATTCGTAAAATACAATGTTGAAACATGTTGTCAAAAAATAATTTAGTAATCGGAAACTCATTGTATTTTAAACAACCTATGTTAAGGTTCTCAATACAGAATAGCGTTTTTGTTCTTTATTGATTTTGAGAAAATATTTTAATATTACCTTCAGGTGGTCTATAACCTCAAGCTCATTCATAACACAGTCCACTTCTTTTAAATATAATTTAAAATTTTTTTTCCTGTTGTTATTTTGTTAGCTAGGTTTTTTACCACGTTTATAAAAAAAGTTATTGAAGCTGTTTGCAATATCTTTTTTCTCATTAGCTATTGTTCTTTCATCCTCAGTATGTAAATACTTCGATAAAGTATTACAACAAGTTTTCTTTTTTTTTTCAATCGCTTCCTTGATTATGTCCTATGTTTTTTTGTTTTTTCCAATATTATTTTGTGATAAATTAGAGAAATTCCTGTTTTAGTAAAATAAATTAAAACTGAAATGTTGACAAGAAGTGGTAAAGTTGTAAAAACTGAACTCAAGTCTTTGCCAGTTCCACTTGTTTATCAGACAAAACCAACCTTCACCGTCGTCATCATCATCATCAACAACAAGGCCTATTACTCGTGACTCTACTAAGTTTTGGTTAATTGGACACCCATCACCATAAATAACTGGTTCCAAACAACCCAATTGCAGACAGGTTTTGAAATTTTTTCTTTTTTAACGACGCGATGAAGAAAATGTCCGAAATCATGTAACAAATCAAGAAATTGGCTATATAGTAATCAACGCTGTTGTAACTTTCTGTAACATGACACGCATTAAGACAAAGACAAGACAAAATTCGGTGTTAGATCTTATGTGTCTCTGGAATGAGTGGAATTGCTTGTTAAAGAACAAGAATCGCGAAAGTGATGCTGGCGGAAAACGTGTTAACTTCTTGGCCAAGTTGGATGGTCCTTTTGAGTCTGGATCGCCTGATGCTGTACAGGAAATCCAGGCTGTACAGACTGCTTAAAAGAAAGATGATGATGCTGCATTCTATTTAGATAAAAAAAAAAGACAGAAAGGCGACCATGGACGGGCATGACAAAATCTTTGAGATTAAAGCAAAAATGAAAGAAGTCAGATATAATTGGAAAATATACTTAGAGATGAAGAAAAATAAAGAGTAGAAAAAGAAGGTAGACAGGATGATCAGGATGATGAGGCCATGGAAGTTAATGATGAAGAACACAATATTAATGAAAAATTTGCTGTTGCTGAAGTAGATATTGGTTTAGGGTGGGACTTGAATTATGAACCTCCAATAAATAGACGATCAGAATTTATTACTCTTTACATCCCCAAAAGAATTATGCAATGCGAGGAAATCACTTCTGCAGCAGACAGGCTGAAATTGCGTCTGCTGTAATTAAAGCTGCTGGTGGAAACTTGGACGATTTTAATATCTCCAGGTTGGCATCTCGTCGAACTAGAGTGATAAATCGACATAGGATTGCTGAGAGTGTTATAGATAATATGAGGCTCAACCCACCCCAGTTTGGTGCCCTTACCGTGTACGGAAAATTGCTAAAAGACATACTAGACGTGCAACATGAACAATTAGCTGTGCTTGTG